AAAAAAAAAAAAAAAAAAAAAAAAAAAAAAAAAAAAAAACAAAATTTTCGAAGCACCTGGTGGTAACAAATTCCACCTGCTATGTTTTCCTAGAAGTAATGTTATTTAGTAAAACAATAAAATAAAAAAAATCGATTTGAAAGTGGTAGGCAGATACTTCTTTCTCTGTAGCGTTGGCACTGCCAATACCTATGAGTTTCCCTACTTCAATTAGTTGGTCTAGACTAGCATCTGTCATCAATTATTTAACTTTTTTAGATATATGCTACTTAAGTACTGTATTGCCAATTTAAGTTGGAAATTCTAATGGTCTCTATAATAATACCCAATGCTAATAATACTGTCTTCAAGTATAATAGTATATAGCGTAGTAGTAGTTTATAGCGTTTGAAGACATAAAACTTACAATCGACTAGATGGTAATAGTTACCGTCGCTCAAACAGATGCACAGTCAGACTGAAATCTAGTGCTGAGTGTTCTATACATATCTATATTGAGTAATTCTTATAGCATTTAGTAAACATAAAAGAAACATTACATTGTAAGATAGTCTGAATACTTAAAATTGTGATACGTCTTCATAATGACAGATATCTGCTCGTGATCAAAAAGAGATGATGTGATAATATCTAATAATTCTTCAAAGAACCACAAATTAAAAAAAGGAATAAAACAGAAAACCTTCCTTCCAGAGTTTTCAAATTCTATGTGATTAAAACTATTTATATTGGACAATTAATGTTATTGTTCATTACTCAATTAGCAAAAAACTGAATTAAAGTTGCATTACATTGCCACAAAATCATCTATATCTCATCATCTATATCTCATCATCTATATCTCATCATCTATATATCATATCATCTATATCTCATCTATCTATAATCATCATCATTCAAGTTATTTTGTTAGACATGTAACGAATCACACTCGGTTATAATGGCCATTGCTGCATTTTACTAGAGTGACATAAAGTTCTATTTTTAGGTGTAAAACTTGTGGAATGCAGTTTTCACAATCTCCTCATCTAAAAAACCATGAAAGAACACATTCTGGAGAAAAACCCTATGTTTGTGAGGTAAGAATTTATTTTCTTCTTTATAATATAGTAGCCTAAAAGCGTTAGGTCTTGTTAGGGATAATGTAAATCTTTTCTCTCTTTAAGTGAACGAGCTCACAACCCACTTGGTATTATGTAGTCACTGGAGCTCATTTTTATGAAATAAAAAAAACACTACACATATAATTTACAATCTGACCAGACTTCCCTTATTACATTGATAAGACAATCTAAACCACATTTTTTTGAAAACCACACGAAAACTATACGTAACATTTAAATCAAATATTTAAACATTTAAAAAAGGTAGAACTGATGAATTTGTACACTTAAAATATTACGTGTAATAAATTCCATTGTATTTATCGTTTACCCAAACTAGATTTGTTAAAAAATTCAAGTTCACCAGGGTGTGGAGCCAGGTTCTTGACTGGAGAGTAAGCCGTGAGTTGATCAAGCATCAACAAAACCCATGGACATCACAAGGTCCAAAAGTATTTGTCACTAAACTAAACTGCGTCTTTTAGGTCTAATGGAGTTATTAATTATTCTGAAACAATTACTTTTTGCACAGGTTTGCGACAAAGGCTTTGCGCGACACGCAACGCTCTGGAACCATCGACGCATACACACTGGAGAGAAACCATACAAGTGAGCTAACTGTAATGCGTTCTTAGATCCAATTTTAACCAATGCCGACAAGCAGAACTGCAACAAGATTATATCACTTTGTTTTGCTTTGCAATTATTACATACATATATAAAATTACAAAACTATATGCGAGTTCACATTGTTAATTCCAATTGTATCAATTGGTTCTGAAGAGAATAAGAATCACTATTAAGATTTCAAAAACAATAATCTCAAAGCTTTTAGTATTTAAAATGAAATGAAATGTAATAATTTTAAATAAGAAATAATAGCCTTAGACAAAAAAATGTAATTAGGCTAATCATATTGGACATCGCACCTTTGCTCTTAAAGAATCAGTCTTTTTTTTCCTAGCATATATTTCTTGTATCTATCATATTATGTTCTTCTATTTCTCAGCCCACGGATGTTCACTGTTGTATATTAGCTTCACTAATAAACATCATCATCTAATGAACATCTGTGGCCATCTGCAATGAGATTAGATTTAATTTTTCTTTTTGTCTCAAGAATGTTATTAAGATAGTTAAAATTTATCCATAATAAGAAAAAATGGCATATTTATTTTTAGATGTGAAACTTGCGGATCAGCATTCAGCCAAGCTGCTCACTTAAAGAATCACGCGAAAGTACATTCAGGAGAGAAACCTTTCAAATGTGATATTTGTACGGCAGCCTTCGCGGATCGGTTTGCCTTGAAGAGACATAGAGGAATACATGATAAATACGGTAAAATAATAATCTTAATGAATTGAAAAGCAGTAAGCATTTTAAAAACGCAAGATAATCCCGACTTGATCATATTTTGAATAGTTCTTTAAGCAATATGGGGTGTCCCTATTTATATTGTTTGTACATATTTGTAATTTGAAATCTTTGGAGGAGTTACTTTATATCAATATAATTTGTTATAGGAACATCATCATCATCATCATCATTATCCTGCCCTTCTCCCAGTCACCTGGGGTCGGCGCAACATGTTTTCTCCTTCCATACTCTTCTATCATATACCATTTCTTCGCTCACTCCCCTCTTACCCATATCGTCTTTCACACAATATTTTCATTTCGTAGGAACATATGTGCTGTAAATTGATTTATACTGAAACTGATTTTCATATTTTATGTTCAGGTCAAACTGCGCCTTTACCTTCGAGTATACATTTAGATCGGCAACAAAATCAAACTCTTCAGCCATCTCAGCAATCCAACAACGAACAAAGCACAACACAAACCAGTGTTGAAGTAGTCGTGACGCCACAGGGAACGACAACTGTCAGCATAGGGAATTGAAATGTAAAGTAATATAATGACTGAGTAATTAATTTCACACAAGTTTTACGACTGAAAATATTTGAAAAATATACCCCACCCACATAACAACGTACATCATGGAACTGCTTTAAGATATTGACAGTTTGACACAGGAAATTTTTAAAGTTGTTAAATGGTGAGACCTTAATGTCTGCATTTAATTCAATACAAATCAACTTATACTATGAGTTTTCAGTTTAGTAACTGAGTGAGGGCTTATTAGCAATAATTTGCAGTTAACACAGTACTCCATTTAGTTTTTTTTTAAACATTTACTTCGACATGTTGATCGAATAAAATTATAAAATTTAGAGAAAAAAAGAGAGAGAGAGTATTCTTTATTTTACACCAACAACAAAAAAAACAATACGTAACATAAAATAAAATAAAAAAATATACAATTGGCGGTCAAAATTTTATTCATTTATTAAAACTACTTCACTCCGCAATCATCGTTTACAGAATATGGTCCTAGGAGTTTAATCACTCAAACCGAAGATTTAGATTCATTTTGTATAGATAATAATTACATTTTTTGGTAAAGGCTAAAAATTTGAACTGTTTTAAATTTGTTTATTAGTAAGACAAGTCAATTGCGACTAAACAAAAAAAAATACAGTCGACGATAAACTGATATGAAATGAAATGTTTTATTGGCTATATTTAAGTAGATGTGACCAAAAAGTTTGTTAAGCCTTTAATATAAATAAATCACTACTATCATGTGCTATTTGACGCCATTTGAAAAAGAATTAATACTAAAAAAATTCGACCACATTTCTGAAGTTTATGTTTTATTAGTAAAAAATATTAAAACAGTGGTGGTTCTATAAACACGTTTATTGCGGGACAATTTTTGTAAGACTCAGCCAGTGCGTATGAGATCTTTTCGAGGCAAGTTTTTTTTTATTGCTTAGATGTGTAGACGAGCTCACAGCCCACCTGGTGTTAAGTGGTTACTGGAGCCCATATACATCTACAACGTAAATGCGCCACCCACCTTGAGATATAAATTCTAAGGTCTCAGTATAGTTACAACGGCTACCCCACCCTTCAAACCGAAACGCATTACGGCTTCACGGCAGAAACAAGCGGGGTGGTGGTACCTACCCGTGCGGACTAGACTAAGAGGTCCTACCACCAGTAACAAGATTGGATATCTTTACTCATGCCCATAGAAATCTGGACATCGCCTCCCGTTTCGAGTGAAAGAACACGTGTATGACTGCTCCATCAGAGGACAGCTGCGTATGGGGCTCTTTAAATCACATGACACATTCAACGTGTTGAAACACTAAATGGTTTCATAATAGAGTAATTTTATTGTGTTTATGTAAGTGATGGCCAAGAAACCTTTCCAATTTAATAAACACTTTTTTGTTTGGCTAAAGGTAATTAAATCAACAATTAAAGCAATATTATAAGTAGTGCTTTGGATCCAACGTTAAATAAGTTATCATTCGTCGAATTACATTGTGTACATTCGAACTTCATCAAAGTTCCCTCTCGGGTAGACTCAGTCACAAAACTGAAGACTTCATTTTTCTTTTCAGCTAAAATGTAAGTTACACGAATTACGAAATGTTTTATATCCGCCCATTTTAAATAAGCCTGCTGAATTTGATCATGTACTAATGTAGCCTTTTAATATTTCAAGGCGATTAAACATTAAAATATTAAGGATCAGAGTTACTTTTGTTTAGATTTAAATCAAGGCTTTAATAACGAAGTGGACTGAATGTTATCATTGAAAACTGATAGTGTTTCTGTACAAATTTGTTTTCTGTAAGTGTCCCTTGTAAATAAAAAAAAGATTAAGGTACCCATAGAAATATACAGATGTGATTTATTATAGCATATCCATAACTGAAAGGTTCTCTAGGAGTGTGTTGCACTTGTCATGTTAGTAGACAGTAGGTAAAAAAGCAATAATTAATAATTATGTAATATGAGATGTGATAAGTGCAACTCATTTCATTTTTGTATAACATCAGAATGATGTTTTCTGTTAAGTTAGGGTTTATAATAATGTAATAATAAAAATATAGTAAAATTGTCTAGAAATAACGCTTTTCATTTAATTAAGATATTCTTACAACCGTTACGTATCTTGCTGCACAAAAAGTCGCCTAAAAATCAGATAAATACTTGCCAGCCATAAAGCGATAATTTCCCTTTTACGCTTCTGACTATGAGAGACAGTAAATTTTTAGAACGAAATTGATCTCATTCAGTGCTTTAATGTAACATATTCATTGATATATGAAATAACTAGCCGTACTCTCCCGCTTCGCTGGGTATTTAAAATTAACATTATTATTTATTGTCATTATGAATAGGGAGTCCAACACTCGTATAAATATTAGCCTATCCATTAAGTACATGTATTTTCTACATAGATACTAAGTTTCAAGTCAACCGGTTGCATGGTTCAGTAGTTATAACAGAACATCCGTAAAAACCACTAGATTTATATATTAGCCTATGTAATTATTAATTTTTAAATTTGAATCCATCAAGACTAATTTGAATTTTCTGGTAGGTATAGGCTTAAGAAATCTTTGAAACAAACTGAAAATAAAATTCCAAGTTTAAATGATAATAAAATTACAGTGGACATCTCTGTTCATATTATATTTTTTACTATTGAAGTTTGTTTTTAAGGATCTACCGCAAATGAGAAACCTTGCAATGGATTAGGCTAAAATTCTTGTAGAGATGCAGATAACTTTTTGGCTATAAATTCTTTCATATAGACATTATTATTCACTATTAACTTTTTGTTAAAAAACTAGCTATTAGATTATATGTTTTAAAATGGAAAGTCACAAATAATATTTTTTTGTTTAAAGATAGATGTACCTGCTACTTCCCTGCACTTTATCAAAATTTCAAGTATAAGTATTAAAGGAGGAAAGTGTAGATGAACCAGCCTTGTATCATGAATATAGATTTTAAAGGTACATTAGCAATTTGAAGATTTGTCCACGATTTTTTTTAATTTAGAAAATTAAGAAAAAAATGGCAATAGTTATAATTCTTGAATAAGGTAATGACATAATAATAATCAGACAAATGTATGAAAATGTCTCATTTAATCACAGAATGTTTAACATAAATTATGAGAACAAGACAAAATATACAGATTAAAATAAATTTACTCATAAACCCAGTTTTCATTTGCAGGTGTCCAGCCCACAACTTCTTTGTCCGTAAACCAGAGGCCTATTTCCTTTTTAGCAGATTCAACGCTGTCCGAACCATGGATGATGTTACGCCCAACTTGAATGCAGAGATCACCGCGGATAGTGCCGGGCTGCGAGTCAGCTGGGTTAGTTGCGCCAAGCATTTGACGGCCAGTCTTCACAACATTAAGGCCCTCCCATACCATAGGGACCACAGGTCCTGAACTCATGTACTTTACTAGACCAGGGAAGAAAGGCCGGGATGCCAAATCGCTGTAGTGTTGCTGGAGAAGTTCTTCTGATGGCCATACGAATTTCAAACCGACTAGTTTGAAGCCTTTCTTTTCGAAACGTTCAATAATGGTGCCCACAAGACCACGTTGTACACCATCAGGCTTAACCATAATAAAAGTACGCTCACGTTGTTCCGCCATCATGAAATATTACTAACGTGCTCAATTAACTACACGTGCACTACAGCCGGCAATGATTTAAAAAGTGGCAGGTGGCAGCTGGCAGCTACAGACTATAGACTAGGTATTAGGGATAAGGCGTATTTATCAGAACAGTTAAACGGAACAGGTTCGTCTGTGAAAAAACTCGGAACTGCTGTCTATAGACCGAAACAACAGTTCCATAATATTCTATATGTTGCGTTGTTTCGCTCCACTGCAAACAGTTTGGAACAAGCTCTTTCCCCTTTTCACGTACAGAAATAGAAAAAGATAGCACACACATACTTATATATATAACATATTAAATGTTTTAATATAAGTGCATTTTGGCAAAACTAGTTTCACATATCATTAATATTAAAAAAATCAAATAAAAAAAAAGAATGAAGGATTGTCATTTAAAAAAATGTATTAAAACAATTTTTATGTATGACTTACATTATGTGGAACATATTCTACTTAAAACATTATTAAGCTTGTTGCAACACAACAGGCTGTTATTTTGGAACAGGCTACTGGGAGCTCTTTCACTGGAACAGGTCTCGAATTTCATTTTTACTAGGTATGTATTGAGGCTGCTAAAATATGTGGCAACAGACATAGACAAAATTACTCTTTGGGTAGAACTAAAATGGTCCGTCCGTTCAGTCATCAGAAATGTAATAAGTGTATAATTTTATTTCTTACTGTAAATAATATACAATTATAAGTACATATGTATATAATTAATATTCTATTTGATTTAATTTATTAATTACTGTTCTTTTCCTTAGCGTAGTATTTTGTATTAGAGATAGTTTTTTATCCTGCTGATCCTATCCTTTATCCGATATCAATTTCGTCCGATGTAAAATTCTTTTCCTGTACTACTATGTTTCCTTACCTTTGTCTGTGGCAATACGCACAACGTGATGCCATGAAAAAAATTATATAAGTGTATAATCTATGGTCATCAGTCTACATCGGTCACCAGGGAACTTTTTGGCGGGAACGTGAGGAGTGAAGTTGTGTGATTTGTTTTATTTTGTCTATTTAGTGTTTCTTCGGGTTTAAATGTGTAATAATGGTGGTTTATTAACTGTTTAATATCTGTGAAAGTGCACAAATGTGGGATAATGAAACAAAGCCACTGGACGTAGCTTCTCGGGATCCTCCAAAAAGTCCACTGAATTTTTTTTAGTAAATGACCACCATTTTACTGAGATTATATTTCATCCCATTTCATCTCATTTCATTTCAATTCATTTCATGCCAGTTGATTAATGTCTCAAATTAATCATCTTCATTTCATTTCACTCCACAATATCATTTTTCATAAAAATATGAATATAAATTAAAATAAGATATGACTTAAAGGACTCAGTTACCAGGTCATAAAATCCCTTAAAAAAATCAGTCACCAGGGGACTTTTTGGCGGGAACGCGAGGAGTGAAGTTGTGTGATTTTATTTTGTCTATTTAGTGTTTCTTCAGGTTTAAATGTGTAATAACGGTGGTTTATTAACCGTTTAATATCTGTGAAAGTGCACAAATGTGGGAAAATGAAACAAAGTTGCTGAACGTAACTTCTCGGGATCTTCCAAAAAGTCAATTGAAAAAGTCTCAGTAAATGACCACCATTTTACTGTGATTATACTTCATCCCATATCATTTCATTTCATTTCGTTTCGTTTTCATTTCATTTCATGCAATGTTTCATAATAATCAAATTCATTTCATTTCATAATATCATATTTCATATAAAAATTTGACATTAAAATTAAAATAAGACTTGACCTAAAGGTCTTAGTTACCAGGTCATAAAATCCCTTTAAAAAATCTGTCACGAGACTGACAGTACTGACATGGTACTGACACACAATTTTTAGGGGGAATTTTTAATTGCTCCTCTGTTTAAAATTCATGCAAACTAAATATCCCAACTAATAATATAATCCACTGCATATCAGATAAATGACTGTGTAACAAATTAAGTACTTGATTACCTAAACATATTTTGTTAAAACACGTATAAAATTAACCAAAATCAGATGACCTTTTTTTATCTAGTTTACAACGAAAATCTAGCTGAAATCACTAATATACCGATTTTAAGACAAAATTACTCACCGCATAACAAAAATACTGATTTGTACACTAAATTAACCATCTTACAACGGAATTCTAAAATCATTTTCTAAAACTGTATCAGATAATGTATGTTTACATTATCAAATTACATTCCACGAATTTACTACTTATATATCTGAAATCCCCATCACCCAACTTTATTTCTTTTTGTTCTTCTGAACTTCTTTCGTTTTTTTGAACTTCTGAACGAATACAAGATTTCTAAATGTTGGTTGAAGCTCTTCGCAACAGAGTTTTCTCCCAAACTCTGTACAACCATTGTATTTTTTCCAAATGCATTTAAAGAAGTATTTGGTGAAGAATTTACTGTAAAAATGTGCTGGGCCCATGCAAAAAAAATAATTATCACCAATGTAGAAAAATTTGTAAGCAAAAAAAAGAAGAATTTATGACTGCAATCGGCCCGGCTCCGATCCAGTGCAGGAACTCACAAAGCAACCATGCCTAGTGAGCACCTGCATGAGCTGGATAATGAGGCGTCCTCTGTCACGATTCACCCAGTCCACAAGAACCGCCTCGACGGTCCTACGACCAGCCGAAAGATCGGCCAGCCGCCTGAACCATGACTCCGATACGGACCGCCGAGATCGGGCACTCTGCGCTCTGACCACACTGGGGCTGGGACGAAGGCCCCTGACACGAAGGTCAACCCACCACTGATAGTCAGCGGTGAGTGCCTCCTGCAAGACCAAAGGCGGCGTCCCAGCTAGTACACACGCCGCCTCGAAAGAGATGGTTCGATAACCACGAATGACCCTGACCGCGACGATGCGTTGCGGCTGTTGCAGCAAATTCCCTACTCCCGCGGCCAGGGACTGGCCCCACATGGGCGCCCCGTGTAGGGCCATTGATCGCGCCACCCTTGTATAGAGACCGCCGGCCACCCCCAACAAACGAGGGACCAGGATCTGAAAGTGAGCACGGAAAGTCCAACGACTGTCCAGAATGAGGCCGAGGTACTTCATCTGCACCCCGACCCCAATACGGACGCCTTCAACCACGATATGGGCATCGACAGGTGGCAGTCTCCGGGGCCTGTGGAACCACATGGCCTCGGATTTACTGATCGCCACGTCAAGGCCCGATCTCCTGATTTTGCCGACGACATATGCCACCCCAGTGGTAGCAAGATGGGCAGACTCAGCAAAACTCCCTGAAACGCATTGGCGATATCGAGCGACACCGCCAAGGCCACCCCGCCTCCGGAGACGGCCTCCTACGAAACGGCCCACACGCGAAGGATCGCCTCTATCGTTGAGTGGCCCTCTCGGAAGCCATACTGCTCCGCCAACAGATCGGGTCCCACCCCGACCAGATGCTGGATGATGCGGGCCGCCAAAATGCGTTCCCACCTCATCCAGCAACATGATGGGACGGTACCCGGCGGCAATATCCACCGAGCGAAAGCAAAACCTACCCTAATCATACAATAAGAAGTTTTTTTTTATGTTGTAACAACAAAGATTGATTAGTTAAAAAAAACTGAGTTACCTTACTTTTTTGCAATTGTTAGTGTATATTAAGATTGCACTTAGTTGATTTTTTGTGCACTTTAATTAGATGAACATGACTGATTAACTGGTGTTTCATTTAGAATAACTCATGTTCTTAACAGTTTAATAAGTGATGGGTTTAAAAAAAAAAGATTTAAATATTTTGTTGCACACACAGAATTGTCAGTTTTACTTTTAGTTAACAAATAGTTGTTTAGTAAAACAGTTTAGCTTTATAGATCAAACAGTAGATTAGATTAGATTTATTTGATGAGCAATTTTAGTGTGCAATTCAGTATTTGTGGTGGTAATTTCAAATGAATAGAAAAAATTGCATTTTTTTTTTTATTGCTCTTGTAGGCAGACGAGCATACGGCCCACCTGATGGTGAGTGGTTACCGTCGCCCATGGACTTCACTTTTACAGTTGTAGGATTAAAATATATTACCCAATTTTTAATAATAAAAATATATATATCGGTATACATTGACGACGTGTTTTGAAGAACTTTGAAATAGATGTTTGCTTAAAGTACCTATTGAACTGAATATTTGAATTGAAATTATTTTGATGTCAAAATAGTTTAAATATGTAAGTCAGATTTGTAACGATTTTTTGCCCTAAACACGTAATTACGGATCCTCTCGGTCCATTAACGGTGCTTTTAGGTACCACAGGCACCGGTCACCGTCCTCGTCGAACCCGTCGCTCGCGACGAAGGGCTCAACAAGTGAATTAACCCACTAAGCTTATCGCGGGTCGCGTTTCCGATCCGGAGGTAGATTCTGCGAAGCACGGCTCTTGCTAGGGTTCGTGTTAGCAACGTCGTCAGGTTTGAGCCCCGTGAGCTCACCTACTAGTTAAGGTTACGATGATATGAGTCGACTATTATCAAAGCCGGCAATCTGACTTTTGGACAATGATTGGTAAATCAGAAAAACGAATTATTGACTTTGTATTCCATTGGCAGTCACACAACTCTTCGGAACGACATCTTAGATAAATAACAGGTTAACTATTAACCTTTATTTAATGCAGGTTTTGAACCGTATTCTTTGAAGGAGACGATTATATTCAAATCAATCTGAATTGACAAATCAATAAAAATTTTTTGTCCAAATGCACAGATTGCCACCTTTGATAATAGACGACTCATATAGCCTCTCAAGGCAATCAGCTTAGGTATGAAAAAAAAAAGACATAACAGTGTTAGCATATTCTCTCAGGTTGAGCCTATGAGCTGACCTACTAGTCCATGCGAAGCTGTAATAGCCCTTAAGCTTCCAGCAAATAAATAGGGGAAAAACAAAAGAAATGTAACAAGCCATTTTGATTACAGTTCTTTAAATAGCACTCATAAACATAAATATGATAAATCAAAGAACCATCATAAGGGCCATGAAAGTCAACTGGGAACAAATATTACACCTTTA